AAAAAGAATCTAAAATTGAGAAGATACGCATGCTAAATTAGTAATTAGGGATGATTGTGAACACGGAAAATTCCTGAAACGAAAGAGACAAGAATAACGTGCACAAACAAATATTTGTATTTGATGATTTTGGGTTACAATCTCTCTCTATTTTGATCCTCTGATTCGATCTCCGTAAGGTGTTGATTGGTGGATGTGCGATTGATCCAAGGGCCGTTGAGGCTTGATCTTGGATGAACTGTTGGAAATTTCTTCAAAGGGTCGTGGGCTTGATCTTTGAAGGTGGATTTGAGCGGATCTTCAAGGAGCCGTTGGGGCTTGATCTTGAGTAACGGTGATGAACGGATCTTCAAGGGCTTTTGGGCTTGATCTTGAAGAAACAGTGATGAACAGATCTTCAAGGGCTTTTGGGCTTAATCTTGAAGAACGGTTGGATGTGTGTGGATTTGTCGACGTTGTTGATCCAAAGGGCCGTTGGGGCTTGATCTTGGATGAACGGATGATGAACAATGGTGCTTTCTTCAAGGGTCGTCGGGGCTTGATCTTGAAAGAGCGATGAACGAAGAACGAAGAACACTTTCTTCAAGGGCCATCGGGGCTTGATCTTGAATTGGTGGATGATTGTTGATCCAAAGGGCCGTTGGGGCTTGGTCTTAGGATGAACGAAGAACGAACAACGAAGAGAGCTTTCTTGATTCTTCGGGAACCTGGATGCTTGAGAGCTTCGGAGTTTCAGAGCTTCAGAGCTTCAAGGTGTAATATGAATTGGTTTTGGTTCCTCCCAAATGAATGAATTAGCCTTCTATTTATAGAAATTTCCAAGGCCTAATTTTGAATATAATATCCCAGATGAAATAAGTCGTTTCTGCCAGGTGTTGACATGTGTCCTATTTGATGACTTTTCTAACTCATTTCAATTTTCGTTGAGTCACACACTACGTGTAAAATTTATGTAATACATAAGCGTTGACACTTTGATTTATCGGTCAACATTTATTTACCGAAATTTCAATGTCTACAAATGCCCCCACTTCAAGACGCGTCGTGTACATGTGCTTGTCGCGTGTAGGAGATGCGTTTTGAAGTCCCTTACTGTAGACGTCGATCCAAGGGCCGTCGAGGCTTGATCTTGAATTGGGGCTGGAGATTTCTTCAAGGGCCGTTGAGGCTTGATCTTGAATTGGGCTTGAGATTTCTTCAAGGGCCGTTGAGGCTTGTTCTTGAATTTTTTTTGTTTGAAATTTCTTCAAGGGCCGTTGAGACTTGATCTTGAAGGTTGAAATTGGACCACAAGGAGCTTCATGTGGTAGATGATCTTTGGCTTTGGTAGTGGATGAATCGGCACGTTTTTGTTCTTTTGTGCTTTGTTGACTTTCCATAACTTTGATCTTGAACTGGGTTGGAGGATTTTCTGGATTCCTCTAATTGTTGATTTTCCACAGCTTATTCTTGAACTAGGTTTTGATTCAAGAGTGGTAGACACTTGATCTTGAATCGGACTTGTGATTTCTTCCAGGGCCGTCGAGGCTTGATCTTGAATTTGGCTGGAAACTTCTTCAAGGGTCGTCGAGGCTTGATTCTTGAAGGTTGACTCGACACATGGCAAGCAGGCACGAGGGGAAGTCGTGGCTACTTGTTGCTTTGTTCAATCTTTCCAATTCACACCTGAGCAGTTTGGTCAACGGTATGATCTTCAAGATTGATGGGCTATTCTTCCAGTTGGTGACTTGATATTTAAGGATTTGATTCAAGGGTGGTGAATCGGCACGTGCAGCCCACAACGCCTAGTAAGTCAACCCAAGAATTTGAGGGTCAAAACGAGTTCACCGTCCTCAGGCAGATGCGGCATCTTCTCGAGTTCTTCATCTCAAACTCTTTCTGCTGAGTTGACTGTGCATGCTGCATTCTTCTCTGCTTGTTTCTTCAGGCAGATGTGGCAGCTTCTCAAGTTCTTCAGCTCGGACTCCTTCTGCTGAGTTGACTGTGCAGACTGCATTCTTCTCTGCTTGTTCCTTCTGCACGTTGTCTCCACATGCTGCAAGGTATCATTTTCACTTGCCTTATCTATTCTTCAGGCAGATGTGGTAGCTTCTTTGGAAGTACAGCAGCAGTGGGAGACGAGTACTCGAGAGCAGTGCTAGGTAGGCAATTAGGGAAGGGTTCCAAGCAGTCGGTTCTTTACCCGAGTTTGAGTGGAAGTTCCGGCATATTGTTTTCTTTATCCTTGTCTTTGTAGGTAAGAACAAGGACAAAGGAAAGGACAGGGAGAACGCATGATATGAGATACTCTTGCTTTCTACCCTGGTGATATGAGATACTTTTGCTTTGGAGTCATTGGCTTGTAGAGGTACCCCAAGGAATAAGGAACATTGAATGACTCGAGAGGCTTCGTTGGGAAAGCATTTTTGGAGATGAAGAAAGGCTCTGTATGTTTGCCTTGCTATGGAAGGTGAAGGTGGACAGTTATAGGAAGTTCTTTGATACCTGTAGAGGTACTATTCTTTCACTCGTGTCGGCAACCAATGCGTGATTGATCAGTATGGCTTCACGTGCTTTCTTCTTTATCAGAAATCTTCGACAAATTGTCCGTAATTTCCGCCAAGCTGAGTGTGCATGTGACAGGTGTTGACGCGGCTGAAAAAAAGGACTGGCGCCTCTTCGATAACTGGGATCGGCGCTTCGACAAATTACCCGTGATTTCTGCAACGCCGAGTTTGCGTGCGATAGGTGCTGACGTGTCTGGAAAAGACTGGCGTCTCTTCGATATCTGGGATTGGAGCTTCGACAAATTACCCGTGATTTCCGCAAAGCTGAGTTTGCGTGTGATGGATGCTGATGCGTTTGGAAAAGCAAGATGCTTCTCCGATTTCTGAGCTTGCCTCTTCGATTTTTGAATGGCCTCTTCGAATTCTGAGCTCGCCTCTTTGATCTCTGAAATCCCGTCGAGTGTTGATTTTTTATAGAGGAATGCAGTTCGTTTCAAAGCACACTTGAATTTTCGCTTGTGAAAACTCCCTTTTTGCACTTCTAAGATCTTGATTTGTCCGATCTTTTCTTTCTTCAACACTTTGAAAATGTCCGGACCCTCCGACTGTCGTTTTGACTTGAATCTTGGTGAAGAGGCAGTCCCGCCTTCTCTAGACAACATATGGCGCCCATCCTTCATATCCCCTACTGGTCCTCTTACCGTTAGGGATTCGGTGATGAAGAATGATATGACCGCTGCGGTGTTGGCTCGGAACCTTGTCACTCCCAAAGATAACTGACTACTTTCCAGGCGGTCTGATGAGTTGGATGTTAAGGAGTCTCTGGCTCTTAGTGTGCAGTGTGCGGGTTCTGTGTCCAACATGGCCCAACGCCTATTTGCTCGAACCCGTCAAGTTGAGATAATGACAAATCATTTCACCTTTTTAGTTGGAACTTTAGGCGGGTCTCGAAAAAAAGATAGCGAAAAAAAAATATTCCTAGAGTTGAGACTAAAAGGAATGTATAAACCAATGCTTCCATAGATTCGATCTTGGTTTACAATTATAGCTTCCATACCTGTTTATTTGGGATCGTCTCCTGGATAAATAAAGAACAAGAGTCAAAGAAAAGGCAGTGATTCAAATCAAGATTTATCTGGTACCCCATCTAAAAATCACAAAAAAGAAAATCAAAATGAAAAGTAACAAGTAACAAAGCATATTGTATCAGACTACTTGTCTTCTTGTAGTTGGACCTCCAAGTTTTTGGAGAAATTCCTTTTGCTGGCTTAGAGGCCCTATGTCTTGATTTTCTCATCATTTGGTGGGCTTTTCAAGTCTCAAATGTTAAGCCTAAAACAACTTGTATATTCTTTTAGGGGTGTGATATTCACACATTTCATTTTACTTCTCAAACATCTTTTTAATTTTCAGCCGTCGGATCGGATAAATTAAAGAAGATCAACGGACAGAAATTATCAAAATGTGTGTAAGAAGTAAAATATGATGTGTGAATAGCACACCCCTTATTTTAATGCGTCTAAAAGGATCATGCGTAAACAATTGTATGCTCATTTAGAGATTCTATTGGAACAAAATTTTGATCATGGGGTTTATCAAACAATATTTACCTAGTTGTAAGTTGTAGCATTGGAATGAGAGATGAAGTCACAAAGTAATCATGAGCTACGGCCCCGTTAGCTACAAGTTCTATGCTTTTATAGATTGGTTCTGCCAGTTGATGGAACATTGCTCAAAGAAGTACTTGATCAACAAGAAACTGAGGTAGTCATAATCTCTACCCAAGAAGTGGAAACATTTGCTCCAAGTTCAAACAAATACTTGATCAACAAGAAAACCTTTATTACAAGGGACATGTGATGAGAGGAAACGGTGGACTCACACAATCAAATCAAAGGGTAGCCTCGTCAATCGTTGTTATTTTTTTTAACGAGTGATTCATCTTATGTCTTTTGATTAGACAAAATTCATTTCAAGTGTTTCTCCGATAGTATAATGATATGTTATATTCATTCTGTATTTTAAACACACATTAAAAAATCTCTCGTTTACTATCGTCCTAAAACAACTTCTTGAGACTCGCAATTTGTTTTGGAATCTATAAACTAAATCAAGCTAAACTATTAGAAAGATTATTGCAAGAGTAACCACGCTTAAGTGAATTAAGTAATTAGTGAGATAAATATATTGAGATGAATCTCATGTTACAACCAAAGAATTTCCAACAACTTATACCTTAAGAAATTCTATATATACTAAAACTCAAACATCTGGTTACTGTTCTAGGGCAGTGTGCGGACTAAAATGCCCCTGCTTCTTTTTTGTTATTTCAACTTTGCCCTTCAACATTTTTGCCCGGTTCCTTTTCTTTCCTGCTTTCTTCAGTGATTCCTTTTCATTGCTTTTGGTCCAATTTTTTTCCCATTTCTTTTGCTTCTCTTCTTCCGTAGCCGTTTGCTCTCTCCTCTCTTCGCCTCTATTGGTCTCAAAGTGGATGGTTTCGCGGTGAGTTCTTCTAATCTTGCATCTACTACTTTTTTATGCAACTGTATGAATTGTGTTCTATTCAATTTTAGATGTTAGAAGCTTTTAATTTTTTTGGGTTCAATTTTAAATGGGCTTGCTTTCAGAGTTTTCGTTTGATGACAGAGATGGGGTTTTTGGGGAGAAACTTTTAATCCGTGAGTTTTTTTAGTTTGGTTGTGTTGTGGGTCTTGAGAAATGGATTTCGATTTGTAAATGGATTTTATATTGAAATTGTTTCTCTTCTCATTTTTTGTGTTTTTTTTTTGTGCCATCGGGTTTTGCATATGGGTGTATAATCAGGTTTTCTTTTGAATTTCAGGGGATTCAGGTTTTTATTTTTCTGGAACTTTTGTCTGCAGCTTTGGAAGACATTTGTGCTTAAGGTGAGAAACTTTCGTTGCTCGCTTTTGGGTTTTGTTGTAGAATTAATTTTATTTTTTTAAGAGTTACATTCGTGGGAATTCATTTGTTCTTCTTTTTTCCTGCATCTGAAAAATGTCACATGATGTGGGTTTATAATTAAATAAGAATATCAAAATGGGTCTTCTGTGCAAATTTTCTTTTTCTGATTTTATAGAACCGAAGAGGATGTTAACAATAACATTATTGTGTGATATGCGATCTAAAGTTCTTTGGTGAGTTATTTGGTTTTCTTGCCACATGGGATTTTATTATATATTTTTTTCGTGGTTTATGCGTGGTTCTCTGATGTGTTTTGATTTTTTATTTCAGGAAAAGTTAAGGATACGATCAAACGTTTACTGGTGAATTTTCTATTTTTCTGATTGTGTGTGATTTAATTTTTTCAAGCTTTGGGTGTACTTTTCTGATCTGCTTTGATTTTTAGTTGCAGCAAAAGTTGTTGCTCGAATTTTCCAGTTTTTATCTGCAGCTTTGCAAGCTCTCTATCAACAAGGTATATAATTTTTATTCTTTTTCCTGAATCGTTTGTTGGATGGAATCGTTTTTTTGTTTTTGGTGAGTTCTTCTAATCACGCATCTGGTACTGTTTTTTTCCGACTGTATAGATTGTGTTTTGTTGAATTTTAAATGGTAGAAGCTTCTTGGGTTCAAATTAAATGGGTTGTTATCAACATCGAATTGCTTTCGAAGCTGTTTGGCTACTCCTTTAACGCCCTTTTTCCTTTTCTTTTCAGCTTCTTCGATCTGCAGCCCCCTTCTTTTTTTTCCTTTTCCAGATTTAGCTTTTTTCCCCTATATTGTATCTTTTGGCTGATTTTGTGGGTCTTGGTCAGTGCTGTGGGTATTGGTGAATTCCTAGCATGTTTATGCATGCAGTTTTTGTTATAATGTATGGATTGTGTTTTGTTCAATTTTAAATGTCAGAAGCTTTTAATTTTTTTGGGTTCAATTTTAAATGGGTTGTTATCAACCATTGAATTTCTTTTGGAGTATTCATTTGATAAGAGAGATTATTGGGAAATTTCTATCGTGTTTATGCATGCATTTTTTTGTTATAGATTTGGAAGAACATAGCATTACAAGGTGTTGAGGGTTTGCTGGCAGGGGAAAGTAGCAGCGTTAAGATTTTGCAAGTGAGATATTAGGGTGAGAGAAAAACGGGACAAAGAGCATCGAAGACGCATTTGGGATTAGGGGTAGCAAAACAGGGGAAAAGAATATGACAGAGGAATGGACGCTTAATTTTTTTCTTAACTGGTTTGGGATTTTGCTTGCCTTTGGGGTTGTTGGTGTCAAGCCATTTGGTGTTAAGTGGTGTCTGTTTTTTCATAACTTTTATTACTAATTTTTATTTCGTTTGCGATTTTGTGTCCTGGGATTTCTGAATTTTATCGTTCATTGTCGGTTTTTTTAATTTTTTTTGTCTTCATTTGTTTGTTTAATATGTTGTGTTTGTGCTGGGACGCCATTTTGCAAGTTTGCTTTTTACCTAAAACGACTGGATTTTCAAGATCCTACTTGATGATATATGATCAGTTATTGATTTGTATGGATTCGTCTCACTTCTTGTTGCTTTGCAATTGCAAGCCCTGTCAAGTGGGCTCACAATCATTCCAAATTGAGAAGATAAAAACAGAATCTAAATTTGAGAAGATACATGGTTGGTACACATAAAAAAGAATCTAAAATTGAGAAGATACGCTTGCTAAATTAGTAATTAGGGATGATTTCTACACATCCGTTTTTATCTCGTCCCTTTGTTTTTTGTGAACAAACTAGACGAGAATTAAGGACTGAGCGCTAAGCCTGACAACATTTATATTTCTTCATATGTTTCTTTTCTCGTTGATGGCCAACACATGATTCGAAGTTGACGTCTGGACGTACCTGTCATGAAGCTCCATGCTAGAAAATTGTCAAGCCTGCCATCTGGCTTGAGCGGTCAGAAAGTGCTTTAAGTTCTATGCACCTCTCTTCTTGTCGGTAGACGGGGCTACAAGCAGTTGTTGAAGGCAGTTGTCTTTCTTTCTCGTGGTGGCACTCTATTATCAAAATTCCTTTTGCTGGCTTGGAGGCCCTATGTCTTGATTTTCTCATCCTTTGGTGGGCTTTTCAAGTCTCAAATGTTAAGCCTAAAACAACTTATATATTATTTTAGGGGTGTGATATCCACACACCCCATTTTACTTCTCACACACCTTTTTAATTTTCAGCTGTCGGATCAGATAAATTAAAGAAAATCAATGGACATAAATTATCAAGAGGTGTGTGAGAAATAAAATGGGATGTGTGGATAGCACACCTTTTATTTTAATGCGTCTAAAAGAATCATGCGTAAACAATTGTTTGCTCATTTAGAGATTCTATTGGAACAAAATTTTGATCATGGGGTTATCAAACAATATTTACCTAGTTGTAAGTTGTAGCATTGGAATGAGAGATGAAGTCACAAAGTAATCATGAGCTACGGCCCCATTAGCTACAAGTTCTATGCTTTTATAGATTGGTTCTGCCAGTTGATGGAACATTGCTCAAAGAAGTACTTGATCAACAAGAAACTGAGGTAGTCATAATCTCTACCCAAGAAGTGGAAACATTTGCTCCAAGTTCAAACAAGTACTTGATCAACAAGAAAACCTTTATTACAAGGGACATGTGATGAGAGGAAACGGTGGACTCACACAATCAAATCAAAGGGTAGCCTCGTCAATTGTTGTTATTTTTATTAACGAGTGATTCATCTTATGTCTTTTGATGAGACAAAATCCATTTCAAGTGTTTTTCTAATAGTATAATGATATGTTATATTCATTTTGTATTTTAAACACACATTAACAAATCTCTCGTTTACTACCGTCCTAAAACAACTTCTTGAGACTCGCAATTTGTTTTGGAATCTATAAACTAAATCAAGCTAAACTATTAGAAAGATTATTGCAAGTAAGAGTAACCACGCTTAAGTGAATTAAGTAATTAGTGAGATAAATATATTGAGACGAATCTCATGTTACAACCAAAGAATTTCCAACAACTTATACCTTAAGAAATACTCTCTAAAGTTATGTATCTAGTATTTCTTAAGCAAACACAAAATTTTCATAAATAAATATGAGAAGTGACAATATATGGAGATCTATTTTAATTGGAAATAACTCCATGAGAATGCTACCGATTTTCTCAATTAGACTTTCTCGTTCTACCTTATCGACTCTTTATCCTACACCTACCCTCATTTAATGTTGGATTGACAAAAGGGAATACAAAATTTTCTCATGATCCCTGTAGCTTTTCAGTCCTCTCCGAGGAAGCACACCCACCCAGCCATACATACGGCAAACAGTTCCACACGTAGGATTCCCCGGGGTCCCACCAAAAGTCACGACAACAAAAATTCCCCACCGCACCATGTAAAAGCAGAAGCTGAAGCTTAATAAGCAAAAAGCGTCCGCTGAAAACCACAAAGACTTGATCAACACACCAAGTCAATTTCCGTACTCTTTCTCTTTGTTTTCTTAATCGTACAAAAACCCAGCCAGCATTCCCCTGCTCCTTCATGAAAGAGGATGGCTTCCAATGGAATCCGCTTCACCAGAGTAGAAGTAGGAGGCATTACTGCAAGTGGGATACCGATTCCACCCTACAAAAGAAGAGCTGATCAGCCATTACTTGAAGTTGAAGCTCCGGGGAATGGATTCCCTCGTCAGCGACGCCATCCGTGAAATCAATATCTGCAACTACGAGCCCTGGGAATTGCCTGGTAATTATTTGCAAAACCCCAGGTCTTAAATTTTCATTATTTTTCTTAGTCCGATGAGTCCGATAATCTGTATATGCCATTGGGTATTTGGGTTTAATCCAAGCGTAGCTTACTACCAATCCCAGTTCATAAAGTTACTATTTTTTTTTCTCGAGTGACAATTTTACGAAGGTCAGAGATTTCAGCACTCAACGCTTTTCTGTGAGTTGGAAAAGTTGTAACATGTTAATTGTTAAAGTGTAAATAGCGGAAAATGGAGTGCGAAAATCTCTACACTTTTACTGATACATTTTAGAGGTGTATTCAATTGGGATTTTGAGGGATTTTAATTTTTTTAATAAATCTAGAGTATTTAATCAGGATTTTAAAGGTAGTTTATTAAAATCCTGATAAATCTTGACGTATTCAATTAGAATTTTAAAGAAGTTTATAACATTCCATCTAGGTGTATTTAATTAGAATTTGATTTTAAAGAATTTCAAAAAGTTGAGGAATTAGACGGAATTGGAGAGAATTTGTAGTGTATTTTCCCTATGAGATTTCAAGGGAATTGAATCAAAACTTTACATGGAATCTCTACAAACCAATTAAACTCCATAAAAATCCATTAAAATCTCTCTATAGGTTTGCATTTGAATGAGTCCAAAAATGTGTATGCAATTGGTTTAATCCATATGTTGTGTTTTATGCAGAGATTTCACTGATAAAGTCGGATGATGAATGGTACTTCTACAACCGACCAATTTACAAAAAAAACAGCAGAAACGAAGTTGAAAGGGCGACGGCCACAGGCTTCTGGAAGAGCACTGGGAAGGAAAAAATAGTCAAGGATCGAGACAACAAAATTATCGGTAAAAAGAGGATTCTGACATTTCGCCAAGGTCGCGGTCGTAACGCCCCAATTACCAACTGGGTCATGCATGAGTTTTCCATCCCTCAAATCAATCCTAATGCTAATCAGGTCATCATTCTCTTTCTATTTTCAGGTTTTTGTTAATATTGTTATCGATATATGATGTGCAATTTGCAGCATTGTATGAGGCAAGTTCTAAACCGGAGGCTGGAGGGGTTTTGGTTGTGAAACTCAAGTCTATTTGGCTTGGTTCCAAGGGGTTTTTGTTTTGAAATCATTGAATGGATCAAAATCGAAGCCGCTTCTAGCCAAATTGGCTTCTTCTGTAACTCTGCAAAGTTTAGTGGCTTTTGGTTTGGAACCTTGTTTAATTTTCTGCTGGTGCTACTTCATTACATAATTGGTTTTCCAAGTTATTTGCAGAGGGATTTCGTTCTCTGTTACGTAAAGAAGAAATCAGGTAAGAATACGGATGTTGCAACCGGTGATGAAGGTGAATCTAGTAATTACAACAATGCACATGACTTTGAAAATCAACTGCAACCAGCACATAATATGCATGTTGAAGAGGTGAGAATGTCGAGCACGAATGGTGATTAAACTTCTTCATATATATAGACGGAGCAAAAGAAACAGATCCAAAACCTTCGCTTGCTTGTTGTTCATTATGCAGGAACATAATCAGCCACCACAAAATCTGGACATTTTTCAGTGGCATATGGGCAGTATGCTTGCAAATGCGCATGATAATAATGATTACCATGGAACGCAATCTGCACCTGGAGCTAATGAATCGGATGGAGATTCAGAAGAGTTCGTAAATACAGTTATTGTTGACCCGTATGAGGCTTTCAGTGAACAAATAACTCACGCTAACGTCTTAAATAACTCCACTCTGCCACAGTCACCTAGGAAGGTGTATTTAAAGGATTGTGGAGTAAGTAGTGGCTCAGCCACAGAAGTACAACATGCAGTTGATGAAGAGGTAAAAAAGCGTTCTGCTAAAACTTCGCTCAACGTTTTGGTACTGGAAGCTTTGGAAACTTGCTCATGTTTTCTGATTATTATTATTTTTTAGGGCCAGTCCCAGGGCGGGAAAAGTGTTCCGCTTCGTAACCGGATCTTAATACAGGCTGCTTCCTCTACCAATGTATTACCTAAACCTCAGACTGATCGTCTTCAATCAGTCAGTGATGAAGATTCTGGTGCATCAAGACCCATTAAAAAGAGTGCTTCCTCTCTGGATGTAGATGCAGATAGCCTTCAGATTAACTCTATTCAGTTAGCCTCCGACGAATACTATAACAATGAGAGAAGAACATATTCAACAAGTGCCCTCTTAGCACCAGGCAAACCTAATGAATTAGAACAGCAGCAAAGCAAGGTGAGTGAGAGAACCCAAACTGCAGCACGGAGAACATGAATAATGTTTCTTTGGAGAGGCTATTTCCACAACTTAATCTGGTTTATTTTTGCAGGCCAAAGTAGCTGCAGAGCGTCGAGCTGCTGTTGATTTTCCCCCGAAGAGGAACTTTATAACAGAATCTAACAAAGACGCAGAGGCGGTTCAAGGCAATAATACAGAAAAGGGTTTGAAGCAGACACACAATGCAACCACCGCCGGCAATTGGATGAGCTGTTCTTTCATTTCCTGGGAAACTTCCCCCCCATTAACAAGTCCCCCATCAGTATACCTTTTCAACACGGTTCTAGGTGCGATATTGTTCCTTGTTTTTGCTTGGGAAGTAGTTTTATACGGGCAGTGGTGCTAGATGAGCGTCACACAATGAGTAATGCCAGACTTAGTGGTTGCTTATTGCTGCTATAAAATGTGGGAGTATCAGCCATGTTTTGCAGTGATGAAATGTTTACATTTGGCATAGCCTATGGAGTTTGACATGTTTCTGTTTCTACGGACCAGAAGTAATGATGTATGGCTGGTACTGGAATCTCAGTACGGTATTTTTTTTTTTTGTTTAATCATTTGGGGAGCAGAAATTCGAACTCTTGGGATATTTTCTTAAAATTGTAAAAGATAAATACTGTTAGACCATGATAGTGTTAGAAGTTGAGCCGTTAAAGAAATCATGTTAGACCATGATAGTGTTAGAAGTTGAGACGTTAAAGAAATCATATGGAAATTCGAACTCTTGGGGCATTTAAAATTGTGAAAGATAAATACTACTAGACCATGTTCATGTTGTTAGAAGTTGGAAGTTAAAATGTTTTTGTTTTCCTATAATATAATAGCAAAAGATAAAAAGGAATGGGGTGAGAGAGGCTCGAACTCTCGACCTCAGGATCACTCAGAAGCTATGAGACCTACGCGCTAGCCAACTGCGCCACCACCCCAATGTCGTTCAGAAGTTGTGTTACGTAATCTTTAAACGGAATATGCAAAATGCATGGCAGACATGGCATTTTGTACCCGACCCATTAATATTAGTATTTGGGTGGATGCTTAACGGGTCGGGTTGCTAACAGGTGAACCCGTTAACTAACGGGTCACCTTGGGTCAACCCGTTAGCACCCGTTAGTTGAGGATATTTTAGTAATTTCAGTAAAGTCTTAACAACAAAAA